ACAGGGAAAGTGAGAAATCACTCTTCAGGGGGATGGCCATGCCACAATCCCTTCTCCCCCATGGTCATCCTGGGATTTTGGGCATGCATACAAATATGCCCCACATGATTTTCAAGCTGCTAGGTCCAGGACTTGAACTGCAGTCAGCCATGTGGAAATCCAGCACCTTAACCACTGTGCCACCTACTGGCCCCAAAAATACTTTTAAATTTAATGGTTAAAAATATCTACCTTGGTTGATTGCAAAACAAGAAATTTTAGAAGCAGCAGAGCCACAGGGGCAGCTACCAAAAGCATCTCAAGGAAAGGCCTCTGTGTTTCCTGAGTGTGGTGATACCCATGAGAATAGGGTAGAACTGCACTCAGAAAAACCCTCATCACTTAAACTTGAAAATTCTCCTGAAGAAAAAGGTCTCATTACTGTCTTAGAGCTCAAGAAGAATGGCTCCACAGATGAGGGAGACTTTAAAAATGATGAATTTGGGAGCAGTGCAAAAAGTTTCAACTCTGTTTTTTGTCAGCATGTCCAGACAACAGAGAAGGCCATTGATGGTGCTGAATATGGGAACAAATGCAGATAGAGTTGAGATATGGTGAGACATCACCCTGTAGAACCTTACAAGTCTATTGGCAGTGGAGAAAATTTCCATGGTTCTGGTCTTTTGGAGGCTCAGAAACAATTCTGTGAAGAAAGACTTTATAAATGTGGAAACTGTGAGAAGAGCTTCAAATGGCATTCTGATCTCTTTAAATACCAGAGAATCCACACCTATGGATGTTCAGTCTGTGGGAAAAGCTTCAGTCAGAGTGCAAACCTTATTAAACACTAGAGAACTCACACTGGAGAAAAAATCTTTTTTTTTTTTCTTTTTCTTTTTTATTTTTTATCATCATATCTTCTTCATATTACATTGGATTACATATAACTTTACAGTGTATTACATTGTTTCTTCAAAAGGGAATGCCATGCACATCAGTCAGTACAGAGACATTAATCTCCCCACTTCAACATTCCATATCTTTTCTGTTTTCCCCAATCATTATTTTTATTATTCTAATTATTTTTATAAAACAGTCAATTGCTATTTCTCGTTTTGCTTGTAAAAATACTTTGCCTGTCATGAAACACTTCTCAGACCAATCCAGTTGAGAATTCTATACATGTCATCATCAACAGTTAATAACCCCTATCTG